AACTAATGCGGTTGATTTTATTTTCACCCATAATATAAAAACTGTAATAGTTTAAAAACATGCATTAAATATATCTTCTACACAGGTGAAAACATGCAAAGACACGGAAAGCTGGAAACCGTTTACTAGTACTTACTACTTTTCTTTTACCTACTCATTGGAACACCATATTCTGAAAACTGATCGTAAAACAGGCATCAGACTTGTACACCTAAAATAAGAAACCTACAATTGACTAGCGCGTTCACTTAAATAACTAAGATATAATTATGTTGAATACTAAAAGTTGAAGTCATACTGAAGGGGCGTCATAAAAGTCGCTAAAATTTTTGTTGTTAAATAGACGTAAAATGTTGCTTATCTAGTCACAAAGTCGTAAACGCTGTCAACGCTCGGTCTCCCTAGGCACATACCTACATTAAGATCTCAATTTTAAGCTACACTCAGCTCGCCTTCTATAGATATAAAATTCTACATAATGCAAAGTGGAAAAAATCAATGGAATATTAAGGGAAACTGCCATAAATACTTAAGATAGCTAATTTTACTTAAGGGAAACATTTTTTTTCATAATGTGAATAACCGTACTCACAGATTTTTTAAGTAATAACGCGCACACACTCAACATTTCCCCGCAATAGGGAAACCCTGTTTCGCGGTTGCCATGGACACACACAGAGACAACCACTAATTACACCCAAACTCACGAGAGAAATAACTGGACATGGGACCTCTGCGTGGCAGTCCGGCACGGTAATCGTTGGGCCACAGAGGCAGTTGTAATTTTAATGGCTTACTGGAGCTGGAAACCAACTAAAAATGATATAATAATGCAATAAAATAAACACTCTCTATTTTGTTGTACTAATCCTAACTTGATGAAATTTGTAAAATAAACATTGGGTGTTACAATTAAAGACGTCCATGAAATTTGATATTACTATCGACTCTAACATGAAGGACACGTGGGCAGTACGTCTTACTTTCAAGATATTGACACCTAAATTGTTTTTTTTGTTAGTTACAAATGTCAATTACGCAGATTTTTAAAAGCCGATTACAGAGGGTCAAAACGTTTCGGTGATCAAATATGTTAAAAACTCACTAAAATTATCGATTACGTTAGTTATGATAAGGAGATGAGCGTAGGTTTAATACCTACCCACTAAATATGCACATAATTTTTTTTATCACCTTGTATATGTGTGGATATACCTCACAGAAATATCCGTGGGAACAAGTAACGCTCACGAACATGAAACAGTCGAGCAAACATTGTGTGATGATTAGTGATCTTGAAAGACAATCAAACGCTGCCGAAGTCGTTCACCCTTTGAGGAGTGGTCTGAGAAAAATATCGTTCAATTCGTTGAACACCAATAAATTTGTATCCACCGCACTACATCATCAACGAATACATCGACGGTTGAAAAGCAAAATGGGCTAAGCGACACTTTTGGTCATATTGAGTTATATATATACCGTTGAAATCAGCTAATGTTTCTGATTCCAACGGTATATATAACTCAGTATGACCCAAAAGTGTCGCTTATCCCATTTTGCCTATCAAGACTCGACATATACATACATACATGTATTTAGTTGACTGATACGTAGATACTTATTTAAACTGGAACGGACAGAAGAGATATATTATTAGAATATTAACATGTCGTTGCTGGCCACGGATCTTTTTCCTGTTATAAATGCGTTTTGATAAAAAAAATTCTTGTATCAACAGAGCTTCTTGTGAAATAGATCGTCCAGGGAAGCACCACCTTCTTTATCTATTTCTGCCGTCAAGCAGTAATGTGAGCATTACTTCGTTTCGGTTTTGAAGAGTGAGGGTACTGGTGAAATTACAGGCACATGGGACTTGTGAACTTATGGCTCAGGATGATGGGCGCAGTGACAGTGCTCCTCAGATCTTTATTATTTAAAGCTCTGAGTGGCACTACAAATGTTAAAGACAGGCGTGTTGCTTACCACCAGGCACCACCACGATTTGATCGTCCCATCACTTCATATCATGACAAAAAGATAAGTTAAATATAGATTAACAGTGATTGCTTTTAATGTAAACCTATTGTTTCGTGTTTTATAATAAGAACGATAATTTATTTTCAGACATTTACAATTCACAATATTTGCTAGTAAAATTAAAAAAGTAGCGTTAGAATTGCGTTTTATATGAAGAAGGTCAATGTACACAGCTAATATCAGAGTAAATAGCTACCTAAATCCACCCGAGTATTAGGGACTATTTGCCAATGTGCTCAGAATGTCGCCGTTCGTGCTGAGACGCGTCTGATATACTGATACTCGTGTCCTTTTTATCCAATGTTGCAAATAGTAGATTATAGTTCATACGCTGACATTTTATTCATAACTAAGACGTACGACTGCATTCAGCTTCCAAAGCGAAGCTCTCTTTTATTATATTAATCTTATTTTTTCATATATAACTCATACAGCACAAAATTACGTAGCGTTAACGCGATTTAAAAGAGATTCAGTCGTGCCAATAAACCTTTCTACGCGTTCAACAATTCAATATACATATATACTTAAAGCTCAATATGTAAAGTAGTTAACATTGCTGTAAAAAGTTTACCTAAATATCTGTTACAACAATTATTGTAGTGACGTTATGTGTGGTGAATATTGTTCCGTTTGTTTATAAGTGGACTATACTAGGCTATCCACTTAAATGACTGCTAATATTAATATCACGTTGTATTAGTAGATATTTCCCAAACTTATGCCATGCCAAGTTATACTTGTATTTAAGAAATACAAATGATTTAAGAACCGTGTATTCCTTCGTTTGTTGTTGCTTAAGAAATTTGTTCATAATAAACCGTATCAGATACCAAGTGACACAAATATCTTGAATACGTATTCGTATTCAAAAATGGTATAATAAAGTTTACCACTACTTATCCTTATTTAATTTTCCTGATTCAGTTCTTGTTTTGAATATTATTTATGACGACTTTAATGGGTAGCAATGTGGTTGCTAAATCGAAACAAAAATCGGTAAAGACAAACTATACAAAAAGCGAATGCGAGTTTTTCACCCTAAGTTCGGGTTTTTCAAGTCCAATTGCCACTCCGAGCTTTAAATCGCAAAGATTTGAGGGGCACTGCCACCGCGCCCCTCACCCTGTGTCATAAATTAACAATTTCAATTGTTTTCAATTGCTTATTGGATATCACCATGTGACATTACAAATTTAAAATGAAACATTTATTGGTGTGATACACATATGACGGCCTGCAAGGGCACAGCAACGTCAGGTTAAGTTCATAAATCAGACTATTTAATAATAATATTAAATTATTACCTTACAAGATATCATAACATTAACTTATTATATCACATTATTATTATCCTTAATTAGTAATGGAAAACTTACATTATACAATACATTCATTTTAAATAATTTATTAATGAGTGATGCTGAAGTATTTATTTTATTATTGGTATCATTTTTATCGTCAAAAATTTCGTTTAAATCATAATAACATATATTAATAAGGAATACTTTTAATAGTTTGCCAAATTGGGATAGTCGTTCCAGGTTTTTGATATAATATAGGATGTGGTTATAAATTCTAATCAACGAGGTATGGGTGCCAGACGTAACTAATTTCATTTTTGGAAAATGATATTCTAAGCTTGTTTTAGTATCTGTTATTTCCTTTGTCATCTACAGAGGTGAATAAAATTGTAATAAATATTAAATATTGTTATAATGAAATAAAATTGACACGTCTCATGTGCTTGTAATTTCACCAGCAACTTCAACCCTTCAAAACTGGAAGGAAGGCGACGATATGTATATATCTAATATATATTTTCATACGTAAAGTGTATACTTAAACAGTATTAAACGAGAGTACTCCTCGAACAACGTAATCAAATCTACATCATCTTGTCAATGACCTCGTTGACACGGTTAGCACTTTTGTCGCTAGATGATAACGTTCGATATCTTGTATAACCAATTTAGGAAACTATAATAGAAGTGCCCCCGAAGTTTCATTACACTGGTACTCAAAAGTACAGGAAATTTCCGAGTTCAAAACCAGATTATTAAGTATTTATGAAATGTCAGGATGTTTCGCCAGCATAAATTTTTTGTGAAATTACGCCTCTAGTTTGTTATAACTATTAACAGAAAAATCCGCCCGGATTCGAATCGACATATCCTAGCAAACCGTCTCAGATACTATGCCAACTAAGCAACGGAGCGAACCAGCGGACCTCTCGAGTTTTTCTGTGTGCTTGTTGTCGGATATTTGTTTTTGGTTTTTAACGCCTTTTTGCCGTAGCGTCATCTGTGAGAAATCTATGAAAGTATTTATTCAACCAGTTAGGTACCTTTACAGCTACCAGCAGCTGGTTACAGATGTCGCTTTAATTGTAATATATTTTTATTGAATTTCAGGATGTTTCTTCCTATCCTTATCCCACGCTAGGTGGGGTCGGCACAACATGTATTTTTTTCCATTCTCCCCTATCAGCCGTCATTTTTGTACTCACACCTTTCTTATCCATGTCATCATGTCATGGATTGTGCGAAATCCATCCATCTTTTCTTCGCTTCTTACGTTGCACCCGTCTCTGATGGAAAAACCCTAGTCCATTTCTCACATACGCCGGTAGCTGCGTCTGCGCGTCGCCTGTGGGGTACGCCATGTCATGGTCACTATTATCCTTCACTCTTGAATACATGTTGTAAAGGGATTTGGCATGGTGTTTTATGACCGGCCGCCTGCCTGTCGTCAACCGTCCTTGGGAATACTCGGTTTAATTTTTACTTTCGCTATCTGGCAGGGTGCACCACCAATGTGATGGTGTTTCATCACCATGATATTTAATTACTTTTTGTAAAGAAATTATTTTTTTCTAAGTGTTCGATTTTTGTATTAATAATTATAACAGTCCAAATAATATGGTTTGATAGTCTAACTTATAAATTTTTATTTAACAGTGCGGCAAGTATGGTGAAGGCTACATCGGTGCGGCGCGTGGCGTCGCAGTCCATGTCAGGGGCAAAGGCCCCGGCGGAGAAAGAGACCACACAGGGTGCACGTGGCCCCTGCTCTCGGTCGCCGATCCTGATGGGCCCCTCCCTACGGAACCCTGGATCGCAGTCATTCGACGTGGGAGCTGCAACTTTCAGATAAAGGTAAATAATAACAAATTTAATTAGTATCCTTTTGCTTCAATATTACATAACTTATACTATGGGTTTTGGATGGATTCATCTTGAAGTTCACTAAATAAATACGACAAGATAGATAAACCAAACATTCCTTTGAATTGGTATGCAAAGAATGGATTTGTGGTTTTAACTAGCAACCTTACGCACGGGAAGATAAAGTCCGATTTAGGGTTTCCACAATATAAGTAATGTATTGCGAAATATATTAGAGCTCCTTGTAAAAGAGGTCGCCAGGATATAAACTTTACCTATTTCGGCCGCCAAGCAGTAATAAATAAATAAATAAATAACGCACACACTCAACATAGCCCCGCACTAGGGAAAACCCTGTGTCGCGGGTGCCATGGACACACACATAGACAACCACAAACTACACCCAAACTCACGAGAGAAATAATTGTAGGCCATACAACTATTTCTCCCGGCCCGGGAATCGAACCTGGGACTTCTGCGTGGCAGTCCGGCATGGTAACCGTTCGGCCACGGAGGCAGTTAAATGCTCGCATTACTGCGTTCTAGATTTGAAAGGTAAGGGTGCTGGTGAAATTGCAGGCACATGAGACTTTTAAACTTATGTCTCAGTGTGCCGAGCGCAGTAGCAGTGAACTTAGCGTCACTGCAACTGTTATGGACAAGCGTGACTCTTACTACCAGGCATGGCTTGTTGGTCCCGTCACTTAGTAAAATAAAAAAATAATCTCAGTACAGAGTACTAAAAACACCTACCTCAAAAGTACGTGGAATCACATCTATTTGCAAAGTTTTATTGAAATATCCCCTAGTTCGCCACTATACAGGACTTGACACGGGAGATAATAAAAATAGCTTCTCACTACTCAAAGTATATTGAGAGAGAAAAACGCCTTGAATTGGAGAATAGCAAAACCAACCATTAAAATAATTGCTCCTTAAGTAAAATTTAGGCGCTATTTATAAAAATGAATGTTCATGCGTGATCAGCCACCCTTAGAGGTGGATAATTTTCTTCAAAATGAAATGGGACCACTATGGAGATACCCTTTTTCCAACAAAAAGAATCATGAAAATCGGTTCACAAATACGGGAGTTATCACGTAACAAAAAAAACATACAGTCGAATAGGAGAACCTCCTCTTTTTTTGAAGTCGGTTAAAAATATCGGATACTCTACTTGTTCACAAAATGGAATGTCACAATTTCCACCACACTATTCTCTTTTTTCTTCCTTTTCTCTATAAGAGGCTGAACGGAGGCTGAGGCTTGAGCAAGAGGCATTGTGCGTTTCGTTTCGTGTCTGCTTCTACTGGGTCTGGGTCTACTTTTGTTCTCCAACCGACATCCGTCTGAAACAAACAAGTACTGTCTAATACTAATACTCGGTCAAAATGAAAAGACAATGTCTAGTATGAAGCTTCATTTGCATCATACGTCTTTTACTTTGGTCGACTATCGACCAAATAGTATAGAGTATAGAGTAGAGTA